GCTGTTAGAGGAGGTGTTTTCAGTTTTTGCCCATTTACTGTAAAGTTGACTGTAGTTTGTTGTACATAGGCTTTATTATATTGAGCTAGGTTCCTTCTAGTTCTTGTTTCTTCAGGGCCTTTCTCAGGAAGTGATGTTGATTTTCATCAGTTATTTTCCATATCTATTGATTGTATGATTTTTGTCTTTAAGTGTGTTTATGTGTTGAGTTGCTTTTTTTAAAAAAATATTTTTTTAAATTGACTTTTTGTGATTTTCATACAGTGTAATTTGATGGTATTTAGAGCCCCTCCCTTATCCACACCTCTCCTTATTGCCCTTGCTCAACATGATGTACCCTATTATATATATATAATATATAAGGCTTATAGAGTCTAATTTGCATCCCAAAATGTCCTTCAGTGTGGGTCCATCCATTAGAGCCTGGTTAACCTACTAAGAGTCCCATCCTTAAAGAGACTGTCTCTCCCCCTCCCAGCAGCCATCAGTTGTCAAAATTTCCTTAGGTTTGGTTGGAGCTTCTTACCTACTTCCCCATGTCTATGCTGGGATGTTATCTGGTTTGAACTTACAGGCGACTTGTGCACGGTGTCACCATTGCTGTGAGTTCATACGAGTAACTGACTGGAAAACTCTGTTTTCTTGTGGTCATCTACCATCTATAACAAGCACATTGGTCATGGTATATGTTTAATGTGTTCTTGAACATTATTGCAGAACTGTTATTGAGAATTTTTGCATCTATGTTCATTTGGGAAGTTTGTCTACTTTTCCCTTTTGGGTGTGTTTTTATGTGGTCCTCATATCAGAGCAATTCTGGCTTCTTAGAATGAATTTGATAGTGTTTCTTCCCTTTAGATTTTGTGTAACAGTTTGAAGACTTGGTGTTAGTGCTTTTCTGAATTTTAGGGTTGCTGATGAGAGATCTGATGTTATTCTGATATATTTTGCTTTTGTAGGTTAGTTGATATTTTTTCCTTATTGCTTTTAATAGTGTGTCTCTGCTTTGTATTTGATCTCTTGATACGTTATATTGTTGAGAGATTCTTTTCTGTCATGTTTATCTCAGGTTCCGAATGACTCTTGCCTTTAGATAACCATCTCTTCCACTAGATCTGAGAAATTTCCTGCTATAATTTCATCGACCAGATTCTGTATGCCTGCAGTGTTTATCTGAACTCCTTCCTCGAGCCTGTGGATTTTAGGTTTGTTTCTTGATCCTGTTCCGTTCTCACATGCTGTGTCATGGTGTCTGTTTCATTTTTCTTATTTATGTTGGAGTACAGTACCTCCTTGGCCTTGTCTTCCACCCCCAGCTTGCTTTCTCCTGATTGCCATCACCATAGTGTATTAAAAAATTTTAAAATTTGGTTTTATGGGGTTTTTAATTTCTAACATTTCTATTTGATTTGGTATAAAAATTTCTGTTTCCTTGATGAATTTTTCTCCCATGTTGGTAATTTTTTCATTCCTTTTGGTGATTTTCTATTCCATTTTCCTGACTTTTTCCTTTGTGTTGTTGACTTTCTTCTCTAGGTCCTGGATTGAATTCAGCTGCTTGTGTCTTCTTTGATGCCACTAATTGTTTTTCCTAGTAAACTTTGAAGTCTGCATCCAGCATTTTGTCTATTCAGTGCCTATGAATTCAGTGAAGAATTATGATCTTCTGGAGAAGTCATGTTGTCTTTTCATAGCTAGGAATTTCTGTGATGTAATTTGTGTATCAGTTGGTTTAGCCGTCTCTTCCAGTTTTATTTGGGGATCTTATTGGGCAGCCTGCTATTGGAGCTCAATCACCAGTGCCATTCAGTAAAGAGGAAAAAAATAATAAAACAGCACCAGCACCAAACTATATAAGATATAAACATTGATTAAAAGCCCAGTAATACATTGTCAATAACTATAAGCCCAAAGTAGGAAGACTAATGTAAAGTGTGCTATGAAGTTAAAAATTCCTTAGGGTAAATATAGAGATATTAAATGAATGAGATAAAGGAAGGAAACAGGAAGAGGAAAAATAGAGGACAATCAAAGTTAAATAAATGAAAAAGAAGAGGGGTGGAACAAAGGTTATGGAGGGGAAGAAAAATTTAAAAAAAATACAAATGAGCTCTTAACCACTGAATCATCTCTCCAGCCCCGATAATCTTTCTTTTATAAGATCACTGTCAAACCAGCATGGTTACACACACCTTTGATCCCAGCACTCAGGAGGCAGAGGCAGGTGGATCTCTGTGGGTTGAAGGCTAGCCTGGTCTACATAGTGAGTTCCAGACCAGCTGGGGCTACAGGGAGATGCTATCTCAAAAAGACCTCCCTCCCCCACAAAAAAGAGTTTAAAAACAAAACTAAAATAACTCTAATAAGATAAAGGGAAGCTCCTACTAAAAGGACAGTAAAGAGGAACAAAAACGGAGAAACTAGGAAGGAAAAAGGAAAAAGAAAAGATCGTCCAGTACTGAAAAAATGCAGGAACAAAATTAGATGAATGTAGGAAGCAGAGTAAAAATGAAAACACTGGGCCTGTGGCACACACCTTTAATCCCAGCACTTGGGAGGTGGAGGCAGAGGCAGGCAGATCTCTGTGAGATCGAGCCCAGCCTGGTCTACATAATGAGTTCCAGGCCAGCTAGAGCTACAGGGAGACCTTGTCTGAAAACAAACACCAAAACAAAAGACCAAAAAAACCAAAAACCATTAAAAAAAAATACTATCATATAAAAATACTACCCAAAAGTGTTTTAAAAAAGAAGAAAAAAAGATTTTTGAACAGTGTCTCTCTGGGTCCTCCAAAATTGTAGATTTGGAGACTTGTAGTATATGCATGGGGAATGGAGGTGGGGTGGAGGTGGTGGTCACTTGACTTCTAGGCTCTTGTCTTTTTGGTGGCTTATGCTAGTGTTAAGTCTCTGTTGAACCAGTGTCTGATGTCTGCCAGAACGGTCTTTAGTAGTTTCCTTTCTTTGCATACCAGGGGCCTCTGCTGGCCACACTTAGCTTTACAGGCTGTGGGCTGAACAGGTTCTCTTGCTCTCTCAAGACTCCCCAGCTTGTACTCCTTGGGGGACCAGTATTCTAGCTTGGGGTATCTCCCAGTTGAATTGGGAGTGTGGGGAACAAGCACATCAGGACTTTCAGGACCTCCTAATTGTTAATCACTCTGCTGGAGGGTGCAGTGGTGAGCGGCAAGAAGCCTGACAGCTTGAGTTTGTGGAATCTCAGCTTCCTTCCTTCCTTCCTTCCTTCCTTCCTTCCTTCCTTCCTTCCTTCCTTCCTTCCTTCCCTCCTTCCCTCCTTCCCTCCTTCCCTCCTTCCCTCCTTCCCTCCTTCCCTCCCACCCTCCTTCCATCCTTCTTTTTTTTTTTTTTTATCTTTTTGAGACAGGGTCTCCCTGTAGCCATAGCTGGCCTGGAACCTGTTATGTAGATCAGACTGGCCTTGATCTCACAGATCTCACAGAAATCCATCTGTGTCCGCCTCCTGACTGCTGGGACTAAAGGCGTGCACTACCATGCCTGGCTAATTTTCATTGCTTTGTTTGTCTTTTTTTTTTTTTGTCTAAATTCCCAACAAGAAAAAAAGTAGCACTACTCTTACATCTAGTTTTTGCTATTTTGATCTCTGGTTCTAGCAAAGATTCCAAACTTTTTATGATTTATATGCTTCTTTGTGTGAACTTAATTCTACGGTGCCTTGTAACTCTTGCCTTTATAGCACTGGAGAGATGGCTCAGAGATTAAGAGCACTGGCTGCTCTTCCAGAGGACCCAGGCTCAATTCCCAACACCCTCATGGCAGCTAATATCTGTCGGTAATTACAGTTCCAGGGACTCTTTTGGCCTCCACAGGCACTGTACTCATGTGGTACACTTATATTCATGCAGGCAGAACACTTATAACACATAAAATAAAAAATAAATAAAACTAACTCTTGCCTTTTCTACATGTATAGAATTAGTTTTCTCAAGTTATTTATTATTGAATCAGCTCTATAAAAGAATCTCTGTGTCTTGAACTTTAAACATCATTACAGAATCACAGAATCTCTAATCTGTGTTGTGTTTTTGCACAGTGGAAAGAGCACCGACCTTTGCCTCGTTTAGTTCTTACTCCAGGCCTGAGCACAGTATTTCAATGGTCTTCTAGATCAAGGGTTTGGATTTTATGGAATATACTTTGTTTTAACTTCATTCTTGATTTTGTTTTGTTTCCCTACCTTTGCTTTCTCTTTTTCTCATCCATATTTCATAAAGGTTGTTTTGTTGTACTGTGCATCTTTTTTTTTTTAAAGATTTAAAAAATTTTTTAAGTATGTGTGTGTGCTGCATGAGGTCATGTGCACCATGTGCTTGCAGTTGCCTGCGGAAGGCAGAACTGGCCATTGGATCCCGTGGAACTGGAGTGATAGGTGGTTGTAAGATGTCATGTGGGTGCTGGGAACTGAACCCAGATCCTCTGCAAGAACAGTATGTGCCCTTAACAGCTGAACACCTGAACATCTCTCCAGGCCCCAGCTTTTACTTTCTAAGTCTAGGTTTCCTCCTTTATTAAGTGAGGATAACACATGCTTTGGAGGGTTGCTTTGAGGATGTGAGATGATGTTACTATCTTTTTTGCTCTCCAGTGTCAAGTATGTTTTAAATATTTTGTCCATCTTTTCTCAGCGTGTTCAGCAGGAGCTTGGTCTGAATGATGTAATGCGCTATAATTGGAAGGAAAATCCCCTTAGTACTTGAATTTTGAAAACTAAACTTATGATATGCTTGTATAATAAGCTACAATATTTGATTTTATTTCAAAGGTTCTGAAGCAGAAACAGCTAGATGACTGCCTACGACATGTATCTGTAAGAAGATTTGAATCATTTAATCTGTTTTCAGTAACAGAAGCCAAGAAAACAGAAGATGAGACTGGTGTATGGGTCCAATATACGAGCATCTTGAAAACTAAACTTATGATATGCTTGTATAATAAGCTACAATATTTGATTTTATTTCAAAGGTTCTGAAGCAGAAACAGCTAGATGACTGCCTACGACATGTATCTGTAAGAAGATTTGAATCATTTAATCTGTTTTCAGTAACAGAAGCCAAGAAAACAGAAGATGAGACTGGTGTATGGGTCCAATATACGAGCATCTTCTATCCTGAGTACAGTGTCTTCTTAAGGTAACTACTGTTCTAGTTAAGGTTTTTAAAAAACTTTTTGTTTGTAGAAGAAAAACAACCCACTAAGAAGCTCAGTATTCCCTCTATAGAATTTCCAGGGAATTGTCATTAGATCTGAGGCGTTACTACTTTGTGTTAGAAAATCTTGATGCTTTTGAAAGAATCTCTTACTGTTTCTGTTTAATAGAAAAGCACAAGTATCAAACAAAGGGGCAGCTTTTTAAAATACCTTTGAAGACGTCTGATGAAATATGACCCAAGTTGATCCTCATATTGTACTTTAGTTCAGCACTGCTTTATTTTTATTTTATTTTTTTCTTTTTGTCCCTGTAGTCCCAACTGGCCTGGAACTCACTATGTAGATCAGGCTGCTCTTGAACTCACAGAGATCCACCTGCCTCTGCCTCCTAAATACTGGGATTAAAGGTGTGTGCTACCACACCCAGCAGCACTACTTTATTTCTTAAACAGATACCCTTTATGTTAATCTGCCTTATCATATGTGTTGTTTGCAAGTCTTGTAAAATCAGCATATGGTAAAGACATAGCTTTGCTTACTGAGATTTATGCTTGATGAAATGCTTAAAAATGAACTCTGTGTTTTTAGAAACATTAAAAAAAAAGTAGGGGCTGGATAGATGGCTCAGCAGCTAAGAGCACTGGCTGTTCTTATATAGTACCCAGATTTGTTTCCCAGAACCCACATGGTGGCTAAAAACTGGCTGTAACTCCAATTTCAGGAAACCCCATGCCCTCTTCTCACCTCCGCAGACATTGCACTCACATGCAGGCAATACACTCATACGCATAAAATAAAATAAAAATAATAAATAGAATATTAAAAAGTAAATCCTGCTGCCTTAACTGGGTCTTGCTGTGTTGTCAGGCTAGATGGCATTTGAGGATGAAGTGGGTTGCAAATCACAGGGTTCATTTAACTGTTCTCTTATAGCATTTGATTATGCCAAAAAGCCAAGTTCTTTTTGAGGTGAAGAAGGCAGAAAATGAAAACAGAAGTTCTCCAAATTACATTTCAAGTAGTAGTTATCTGAAAAATCAAGCTTTGGTATATTTCCCATTCCTGTTTTGTCACTTTTAGAACAAAGCCTGAAAAAAGGAGGACAAACCAGTGAAAATACTGACATCTAAGAAGCATTCAGTCTGTTCTGGGCTTTTAAAATTGTTTTAAAAGGAGACAAGAGAGTTGCAATCTGAAGTAGCAAGATACCACTTTTACAATTGTCTCTCCCAGCTTTCAGTAATACTGTACTTGTTTCATTTTTATAGACTCTACCTTTTCTGACAGGATCTCACATTTCGAAAGAGGGAGGATCACATTTACAGTAACTGTAAGAAGATCCAAAAACATCTTAATATGGCTTAGGTGAGGCCAGGAACAATTTTAAGAAATAAGTGACATGAAGGATGTCTTTTTATAGTATATATTTCTTGAATCATTTTAGGTTAAGATATCTAAGTTTTAAAAGGGGCCATAATAACTGAACACTTGGGATTTGGATAACATTGACTAGAATGGGCATGGAAGAAGAGTTTGTAAAAACATGTGGTTCCTTAATATTTGTTTTATTGACAGCACCAAATAAAAGAGATGAATTTGGTGATTTGTGAACTTGGCTTTACATTTTTTATGAAATTCTGACTAGACTACTTGCAGAAGTCACCTTGCGTTTTGGTGTAGATAATCTATTCAGTTCTTGGTTAGAAAGGAAAGTACATTAAATATTTGTTATGTGCCAGGTGCCGCTCTAGGTGCTTTGGTATGTTCTGTTTCACGAATCCTTCCAGTACTGCTGGAGGTAGGGATACAGATGATTAACAACTGGAAAGTAATATGCATAAGGAAATGAAAAAGATGGAAAACTAGAGTGATCCAGTAGGAGTTTTCACGTGCAAATATTAAGAGTCATCATCCTGCACCTTCTTGTGATAAAGGATGGGAAGCCTAAGTTGGAGTAAGTCTCCTCTCCTAGCATTTTCAGTGCCTGGTGAGGCTGGCCATGGAGAACTCGAACTCTTCTGTTCTTAAATCTTTACAAAGAAGGCCTAACTATCCATCCCCTGAGGGGTGGTCTGATTTATCATTATTTGGAGTCTGGGCTATTATGTAACAGACTCCTCTCCAATAACATGGTTCTTTGCAAATACCAGTTTTTGAAAGAATAAATACAAGGATGTCTCTAGAACTATAACACTGTGTCCTAAGCTATGGGGAGAAGTTCATTAACTGAGTTACAATGTTGGCCTTGATGGTCTTTTCCTCTTTTTACGTTATACTCAGTATCCTTCTACATTAGTTGGGTAAAAAAAATCACGATATCTTAGACATACTGAATTCTACAGTAGAACATCATCTTAAAAAGTCATTTTAGCTGGGCATAGTGGTGCACACCTTTACTCCCACCACTCAGATGGATCTCTGAGTTCAAGACCAGCCTGATCTACATAGTGAGTTTCAGGCCAGCTGGGACTATGGGGAGGCCCTGCCTCAAAAAACAAACAACAAGAACAACAACAACCCCCCCCCCAAAATAAACAGTTGAAATAATATTAATAGTGGCTAGCAGTTGATGCCTACTGTGTGATAGCACTGTTGTGAGTGGTTTCTATGTGTTAACACCCTTAATTCATTCAGCAACCAAACGGTAAATACTGTCAACATCTTCATTTTATAGATGAGGAAAATGAAGTACAGAGAGGTTAATTGCTGGTCACATAGTAATTTGGGTTTGTACTCAGACCAGGTAATCTGGTTCCATAGTTTGTACTTTTAGAAACATTACTTTTGTTAAGTGACTATAGATTCACAGATAGTTGCAGAAGTGGTCCCTGACTTCCATGCTGTTACCTCCAGCCATCTCCATTGATAACCTCTTCTGGAATGGACATACTATCTGTACTTTTAACTTCCACACAATACTGCTTTTAGAAATTGGAGCCTTGATAAGTGATTTCCTCATTGATTATTGTGATCATTCTATTTCTTCCTCAATAATCATGTTATGTTAAAGGAAATTATGGAAATTAGCGAGGAGCTTCGATGGGGAGGATTTCTGCCAAGAGTAGTTCGTTCTTTCCCGTTCCGAATGTTGCTCAGTTTTTCATGTGTTGACCATTTTCCCTGTTTTCACCTGCCCAATGTGATCTCCCCTCTTGTTCTGTCATATCTCATAGAGTTTTCAGACTGTTCCCATAAAATTTCTTTAGTAATTTTGTCTGTTTTCTTCAATATTGAGTGATGGATAGTCTAAAGTTTTTTTTTTTTTTTTTTAATGCAACAGTCAAAAGTAATGTTTATTTAAAAAGTAATTTTCCCACATAGTAACCCAGCATAGAACTGGGAAAATAGACAGCAGACCCCAATTTTATCTAAAGGAGTATTGACAACTGACTGCTGCTAGATGAGGAACAGCTGACTTTCCTAAAACAGAAACCTCTAGATAGGCTGACTAGATTCACCAGAAGGGCAAGTAGTGGGGAATGGCTGGGGTGCTGACAACACAGCAGACAGTAGCAGGGATATCAGAGTATAAGGG